AAAACGTGTTTATTGCGTGATTGGGTAAAACACATTTGAACTTTTATCATCGCGAATCATGTAAAAACTCTTCGTTCAAGACTTCTTTTACCTTTTAAAAATTGCTTATCACCTATTTCGAAAACCATCATGCAGTTTTCATCTGAAATCCATACCAACACATCGTGCTACGACATCGCTTTACTTCCGCAATGTAATTTTTATGATCACTACCATTTGGAAAACTTCGGGTTCTGCCGGCATTTCTATGCGATATTCTGATTGGTTAATGGCGTTTTTGACCCATCAGGTCAAAGGACACATGCCGGTCAACTAATACGTCACAATTATCATGGCGGTCTGTGTTTTTCACCGAAGCGATCGAGTGATCAAAAATAATCGCTCAAATTTTACGTTTATTTCATTTTTTGCATGGCATGACTGAGTAAGAGGAATTATTGGTATAACCGGTGTATAACATCGCGAAGTAAGTTAAGTCACGTCGTAACTTTGATGATCGTTTGGTAGTTTTATTTGTTCATTCATTACTGTAAATGTAAACGTTGTAGAAGCTGATGGTACGAATAATGAACAATTTTTTGAAGGAAAATGTTTTTGTAGTAAATAAGATCATGGAAGTCGAGAACATATTCCTAGCTGAAACGTTTCAAATGCGTTTCATTTAGCCTTTTACAATTTATTTGTTTGTTTGTTTTTAATAGTCTGCAGCATTTCCATTTCGATTTGACAATTTTTCATTTTTAAATTCAAACTCTTCTAAATTGTGAAACGTAATATTTTGACTCCAATAGAAAAAATATTTGCACTGTGACTGAGCTCATTAATATCCCAAAAGAATAGTGTTTATAACACTGTATGAAGCAAATAAATATGTGCCACATTGTTTTTGAAAATAAATGTTGTTTGTTATGTGGGTGTAAATGTGCTTTGGTCAATCTCTATTATTATGTAAATGATATGCAAATCATATGCAAATTAGTCCCCCACAGTGGTTTAAATTCCTGGGGAGAACACTGATGGACTGGGACTTTGGGTTGAGAGAGACCTTTTTATCCAGGATATCTTCTGACTTTTAATTACGCTCGTTATGTGTGGCATTTTCACTCCTCCAGTGTATATATTATTTACCAGAATTTTTGTACTAACCCTATCCCCCTTACATTCCATACAAAATTATATAACAATTGTTCTAATTATTATTTTTATTTTTTGTGAAGGTGAAGGCAGGATTGAGAATAAATGATTAAATTTTAGCAATATTAGTCTTTTGATGACAGTTATTTTTCTAATTATCGTCAGGTTTCTTTATTTCCAAATGTTCAGCAGACGTTTACTTTCCTTAATTTCATCTCAAAAGTTTATTTCAATAAGATTGGTTAAGCTTGCGTTTAATGTGATACCTAGAATTTTAAAATTACCATCAGTCCACATTAAGTTACGATTTGTATTAATTCTTTCTTTTCCGCTTCGTTTAGACCCATACCAAATCGCGTGTGTTTTTTCATAATTTGTTTGAAGGCCTGATAGCACATTAAAGTCATCGAGTACTTTAAAGACTGCTCAGTGACACAGACTGGACATCTTCCACCTCTTTATTCAGGGAATGGTGGGCACAGTCTTGGAGCTTCGGAGTGCAATGAACCAGAGGGTTCAGATTGAATCCGCTAGCCAGTTGACCCTGCCAAAAGTAAGCGGAGGGCACCCCAAGCCCTAGGGCGTCGTCCGATAGCCAGAGTCAGCCAGGAGGCAAGCGCTCATACCCTTCCACGGGAGGGAAGAGTATCGTGAGCCCCCAGGGAGGAAAGGGCCAGGTGATGGCTCCTCACCCTCCTCGGCAGCAGAGGAAGCGTGTTTGACACTTACCTCTGCGACTGGGGGGACAGGCATGTGTCCTGCGAGTGGCCAGGTCACAACTTAATGACTACTTCAGGCCTTGGGGAAACTCGCCTCATGGGCGAAAAGAGCACACACACACACACACACACACACACACCCGCCGCAACTGCCGAACCCATGGCCACATATCCCTGTCGTACACAGATTGCGCTGGTGTAGTCCGGTTTGAAGACAGCGGGTGGCCGTTCACTGGAATTTTCCAGGTGGTGACATCCTGTTACGGGATACCGTTAAAATCTCTATCTCCCCTGTCAGTGTCTCCCCTATTGGGCACTGCCAGCAGACTCCCGCAAGGCGGAAGCAATTAGCAAGAAGTAGCAGTTTCCTGGAAAAGGGCGCCATACACAGGGTAGATCAGCCGGCATTAAGTCCAAGCTTCTACCCAAATGTGTTCGTAGTACCAAATCTACAGGTGGCAGGCGTCCAGTTCTGGACCTAGGCAGACTGAATCAGTACGTGCTCCTCGATCAGTTCCACATGGAGACGCCATTGAGGGTTCTTCTCTCCATCCACCGTTTCAACTGGCTAGCCCCACTAGACTAAAGCGGGCCTACCTGCACATACAGATGCACTCAGCGAGGTCCCATCTTCTTTGAATCGCCCAGCTGGGCAAGTATTCAAATTTTGGGTGCCCCCTGTTCGGGTTATGCACAGCGCCCTATGTGTTCACCAGAGTGATGAAACAGGTAGTGCTGCTGCTTCACCAAATGTCGGTACACCTCAAGCCGTACCTAGACGACTTGTTACTACACAACCTGGACAAGGGGTTAATTATTAGCCAAACATGTCAGGACTAACACATGATTCACCAGTTGGGCTCTTTAGTAAATCGGCAAGTCCCATCTCGATCCAACGCGCAGTTGGTGTTCCTGGGCATGGAGTTTGACACAGAGGTAAGCTTGGTATAGCTATTTCCAAGTGTGTTGCTTAGCACTAAATAGCCTAGCCTAGTCAGGGTTCCCTCAGTGTCCCTACAAGAACTACAACGCCGAGCTCTCCTATGGGAACTAGATAGGCGGGTTTGATCTCGGACCAAGTGAAGGAAGCCCTGCCCTGGTGGTCGTCACTAGCCAACCTCGAACAGGGGGCCCCCTTGGACCTACTCGTCGTAGGTATGACTTTGGTAACAGATGGGGTTGGGGAGAGCATTTATTGGACGAACAAGCCCAAGGATATTGTCCCCGCATTAGTTTCGGGACTACCATATCAACCAGCTCGAACTGAAAGCAGTGCACTTAGCACTACCACGCTTTCTACCCTGCTCTGCACAGGCAACACAGCGCACCCAATTGACCAAGCAAGGCCTAGTTTCCACTTCTGTCGGAAATGCTTGTCGAAACACCAGTAGTGCTTCCGTACTTACCGGACCTGCTGTCCCAACCGGACGGCGCACTACAAATGAGCCCAGCGGGTATCACTTACACGCATAGAGGCTCTCAGTAGACGCGCACATACGAAAGCTTTATCTGAGCGGGCTGCCAACGTCCTGGCCAGGGCGAACAGGGATTCCACCAATGCAGCCTACATTTCTAGGTTGCGAGCATGCACTGATTAGTGTAGCAGAAGGGAGATTGATCCATACCATCCCCCTATTGGCCAGGTAGCAGGCTCCTTCGTCCACTTGTTTGACGAAGTGGGTTTGTCCTACGCAGCGATCGTTGGCTACAGGTCGGCCTTGTCCCCCACCATTGAGAATGTGTGGGAACAAGACTAGCCGATTGTCCTATTATTAGGAGACTATTTACTGCTTTCCAGACGTCGAGACCCCATACAAGGGAACCGCCTAACTGGGACTTGTCGGTTGTGTTGTCCACTCTATCTAAGCAGACCTCCCTTTGAGCCTCTGCAATCAGCATGACTCAAATACCAAACTTGTCTCCCAGAAACTTGACAGCCACCTCATGTGCATTTTCTTTTTCTTTCTCTTTCTCTTTGATTCCGACTTCTGATATTATAACCCATAAACTGGTCTTCACTAATAACATGTAATTGTTGTTTCATAGTTTCATACCTTGATTCCAAAGCCTCAATTCTGTTCTTCAACACTGAGTTCTCTTCTTGTAGCTCATGTGATATAGTTTCCGAATACTCCAATGAGGTTTGAAAATCATGTTTATCATCCTCTAATTCTTGTACTCACTTTGTTAACTGAATTAGGTTTCCAGTTGTTTGGTTTTTCTCTATTCTAGTCAAAGTTTCTTTCATAAAACGGCGGAATTCTTTCTATTCAGTTTCTTCATTGTCCGATGTCCAAGGTGTTGAAAAACCACAACGAGCATAGCTGGACGGCGAAGGCGTTTTTTTCCTTATTTTGCTCTCCTTTCTTCTCTTGCTTGCAGCTACTTTTCTCTATTAATTGTATCCTTAATATATGCCCATTCTTTTTGTACAATTGAGAACCAAAATTTCTCGTATGTGTAGATGCTGTATTAGAAGCTGCATCCATTCAGTTGTATTGTGCTATTTTTAATGTAAGCCACAGCTTCTACTGTAGCACATATGAAAGCATTGTTTTCAAAGATTGGTTCATTTATACATATATGTTCAACATCACTGATAGCACATGTACTTACATAAATGTAAAATAACAAATTGAAATAAATAATATTTTAAAGATCAATCATACAATATGTACAATTTTTGTTTTGGGTGTGTTTGTAATAAACAAAAGCAAATACAGTGCATAATCTGATACATTTTCTGTTTGCAGTTGAGGATTTATGAATTGGAGCAGCAGTTGAAACAACTACAGGAGAAAATACTGGAACTAGAAAGACAATCACCAAAATGGAGTGCCGGCCGTTGTGGCGGAAAACGTCGCAGAAGAAGATCAAACTCTTTAAATGATTCTCTAGGTTGGTTAACAAGACAGAGCCCTCTAGTGTCAGATTGTCTAAATAAATACATCATGATAAGGAGGAAGCACTGATAATCATTTAAAGCACCACAGTTAGTTGAGATGAATTCCAAGTATGGCTGTGTGACAACTGTTGCACTTATATATAGCGCATATACCCTATGGAATCTAGTATAGTATCTATGTAAATAATGGTCCTTCATCTTGTGTGACTTCACAAAATTGCAATCAAAATTGAAACATTTTTGTAAAAACCTACAGCGATTTTGTGTGATGGTTTTTGAACTAACTTGACACTTAGAAGAACTGAAACCAAAGTTTAGAAAAGTTAGATGTTTTTCAATAATTCTTTGTCATTATGTCTTGTTTTGTTTATTTTTAATAGATTTAAAAACTGAGCTAGAAAGAGTAAGAGAAGAACGTGACAAATTATCCAAAGACAAAAAAAAACTCAAGAAAGAGCTCCAGGGTTTAGATAAGGTAATGTATGTTTTATATTACATGTATTCATAATATTTAGTGTAGAGATTCTGAATGAAAAAATTGGATTGAAATGGTCAATCATATTCCTACCACACGTTAGACATCCACTTATTGGCGGAGACAGTGAGGCCCAGCCATGTCAATTTTTTTTTTCTTAAATCGTAGTCCGACCCAAATCATCCGGACCAGTCATTTCTGAAGCATATTCATTGCTATTACTTATTCATGAGATGCAGTGATGTTACGGAAAGTGGGAGTGGAACACTTCCAAAAGAGAAGAGTAGGCATGCATTTGCGCAAAAATCTCTAGGCGTCAAACAGGCATTCATTATAGTTGCTCAGAACAGATTGAACAGTTTGGTTGCTTACAAGTCATGCTACTCATAAACATATTTATCAACACATGAATCCTTGCAATCAATATATTCATCAAAAGTAAAGGGAATTCCTTGAACTGAAACAGCTTGACTGGAGGAAATGTAAACACTGATCAGATATGTGAGATTAGCCTCTATTGCTGACCCACCTATATCACTTTGGCATGACATGTTATGGCTTGTGTTTTTTTTTTTTTTTTGCTTCATATTATTTAAAAAAGCTACCATGATATTGAGTCATGGGAGATAAACCTGTTAGTATAATGGCAGTCATTTTGACTGAGGGGCTACTTTTTATCGCTCCGAAATATTTTTAACACTGTATAAATGAACTTTATTAAAAAAAAATGATTTTCTCAAAATATGTCACTGTAACACACAAATGAATGCTAGTTCATGTTATCATGCAATTATAGCTTTATGTTTGTACATAATAAATACTAGTATGGGATTTATGACTAGCTCTCTTAAAAATTATGAGTAGGCTTCTACTTGGTCATAAATCACATGACAATGTTCATTGTTATGTACAGTCATGGAGCTATTGTCCCATGGCACAATAAAAATAGCATTTCGTTTGTGCGTTAAAGAAACTTTTTTTTTTTTTGAGAAACTCATCCTAATGTTTCTCAAAAATCACTATTTTTAGAACAATTCCATAAACACAATTTTGCATTTTTTAAACATTTTTTAAAATCCAAATTTTTGTAATCATTCAGGACAACAATAAGTACCCTAGAATTACCAATATATTATTTTTTCAGCCTATGTCACTGGCCTACAATTTAAGATCTCTTGTAATATCCCTACCATAGAACCCTATGGGAAAAGCATTATAATACTGCCAAAATGGCAACTATCCACTATAATACAATTATCATTTTCTCAAAAAATTAGGCTGGTGACCTCAAACCTTTTTTTTAAGTCAATACTCTTATATTTCTTTAGAGTACAATTTATTGCAAAATGAACAAATTCTGAGTAGCTTCTACCTTAACAAACATGTGGCTTTATAATCCTGTGAATTGCAAATGATACAGCAACCTGTACTGCCTTTAGCTTGAACTGCATCTGTACCTAAGTCCTTGTGTTACCTGTACACAATACTATGATTGTAATGTTTATTGTCTTTCTTTGCAGGGCTTCTTTGATGAGGTAGAAGATCTTAAGTATGCTCTTCAGCAATCCGCACAATTAAATCAGAAATATGAGAAGACTCTTCGCAGCATGTGTAACAGATTTGGCGTCCCCTTCCCATTTGCCTTGAATCCTCAAAGGACATCTACACCTATTTACTGAGCATTCAACCAGTGTGAATTCCTTCTGTGCTACATTTGTACATCAACAAATCCTAAAACCAAATGGCAAGACATATCACTTTTAATATTATCCTTTTCACCACCAGTTCCCTCTTTTCATCACAAATTCACAAAATAGTCCTGTTTATAATCTGTACTTTCCTTCCAAATTTTGTAAGTAAAAACTGAAAATTGGCTCAAATTTTGTCTGTTTCCTCCAAAACCAGGTTCATTTCCAGAAATATTGAAGAATATAGGAAAAAAGTGCAGACAATTTTAGGCCAGAAAGTCTGGTGCTAAAAAGGGTTAATTTCTAAGTTCCCAATTCCGGTTTCTTGTTTTATAGACAACACACAAAATGTGCAATGTTATAAGCATATAATGCAATTGTGTTTCAATCTTTGAACATTACATCACATTTACCCTCTCACTGCCACTAACAATTGTATTCACCTTGACATCCTTACTGGTACTTTTTTTCATTACAACATTTACTTGAAATATGTCAACAATGTTAATTTGCTGAAAGAAATTAGAAAAATGAAAAGTCAAATTTTTTTGTCTGCTATAAGTAATAATGTGTCTGAATTTACTGTGCAATGTAAAAAATCAATCAAATGAATTTTCGAGTTCACAGACTTTCTTTTTACACCAGATAATGCATATTTGAATAAAGTAATTGCACTAAATGCTTATTCACAGATATGCAAATAGCAGAGAATTGTCTTTTCTTTCTGAAAGGTTGTTCGTGAGTTTGAAGCAACAATCAAGTACCAGTAATTGCAATGGCCAATTTGATATTTCAGTTCTGTTCTGGTTCTTTCTTTTTTGTGTCTGATAAGTGAATGCAGCACAATAAAGGAAACACCAACGCTGAGATTAATGGTTGTTCATATTAGAATACCAAAAGATGTAGACACTGAGTTGCACAACAACAAAGGTCTATGAGAACTCGACGTCTTCTGTGTACTTTAAGATGCAGCACTCATTTCTGGGTTTTTTTGGAGTGGGTTGGGGAAAGAAATTATTGTTACCTGTAGGAGGCACAAGACAATGAATAGATTTCCCATGGGGGACAATGCTGACATTTGGTTTTACCATCTCAGAATAGCACTCAGTGCCCCCTCTTACTCTATTTATACAAACAAACCTAGATTCCTCCAGTTGGCTAAACTATTGAGATCTTCTTCTGCTAATAAAACAATATCTTCATGTTATATTGATTTATATTTTGGCCATCAACAGAGTTTGTGACGACGACTACACTATTTTATATCTTCTGCAAAAAATCAAGCCATGCATGGCACAGTTCCCGTTATCAAATTTAAGATACATAGCTTAGTTTTGTTTATAGTAATATAGTTTAAGAGATGTGAATAGAGACGCTGTTGCTTGATTATGATTATTTTTTTTAAATTAAAATGATTGACATTCAGTCATGTTTTATCTGCTCGTCAAATGAGTACTTGTTCATATTGAGAAATATTGCTCTGGAACAGCATTAATTAAAACAAAATGGTTGGCATAATATATCTGTATATCTATGATGTATAATGAATATATAAAATTTGAACATAATCAGTCAAAGTATGTCAAAGATATGGCACTAGAACTGCATTCATTGAAACAAAATGGCCACCAATTAGCCATTTTGAATCCGATCTGAAAAATAAAACTATGTGTTCCAAGGTCAAGGTCACATAATGCCCAATGTAGGTGAGGTCCCATACCAATTTAAATGCCTAGCAAGAACCAATGAAATTTTTTAAATTTGTTTTTTCTCAGGTGCTCGCTGTTTGAGGGCGTAATCACCTGGGTCAAAGATGAGACCAACTTGTGGTCTTTTGTTTACTACTCAGCTACTCAGTAGGTGTGTCTTGTTTACCTGAGATTTGTAAGAGTTTGAGCTGGCCAACATGTTCGTTTTTTTCATATGGTTGTTTACTGGCATGTTGATTTCCCATTTTTGAGCCATGTTTTCAACTTTCTTTATCATTTTCATATAGCAATCTCGTCATATGTTAACATTGTCGTCTATGGAAATGCAATTTGTGGTATGAGCCCTGTATGTTCAAAGTTTGAACAAAATTCATCTTTAAACAGCCGAGATCCGGTTGCGGAATGCCAGGAATGCTTCGATGAATTGTCAACACAAAAATGGCCGCTATAGTTTCATGTATGTGTGAAGTTTGAATGTAATCGGTCTAGAAATGTCTAAGATATAGGTCCGCATGCACGCAGTGTTCAATCCGTAAGTACCTGTTTTCAGACGGCGTTCGAACAGGGACTAATAAAGTAAAACTCACTTACGTATATATGTGATACGTTGTGTATAAATGATACCAAAAACACAATAAAAACTACTCGCACTGCAACTCGACATTAAATTGATCTTCAATTAAATTTCAATACATACGTATGTATGTATATCCTGGAAGCTAAGATAGTTCCGGGAAAATAGATGAATATATTTTGTTAACACATCGCTTGCTAAAAAACCTCGACGGAGAGGTAATATGAATGATGTATAACGACATCGTGAATTTTTGATGGTGAACATTTTTACATCGCAACTTTTTAAAACTGGTTCAAGAACTTTTTTGATAAATTTGATCACAATTTGTAACTACTGATCATGAATATTATTATGAATATACTAGTTACTATACTAACGCATCAATGTCAGAGTCTGATTTCTTCGGCTATTAATGCGCCTAGCGCTAGGAATGTGCGGGTACGCTTGATTTCGATACGTGTTCAAGGTGCTGGCACATCACCTTTTCTCATCCATATGGCTATCCGTGGAGGATTTTAACTTATATTATCACAGTTGCTTAGTACAGAGAGACATAACATATAGAACCTCTGCTTTAATGAAGCATGTACTAGATAATGGATACCAATATCTGTGAGTACTTTAAGCAGCTTGTTTTATATCGTTCATATATTAAGTATATGATGTGTTTCTATATCTCTACCACAAAAAAGTACGAAATTTGCACATCTTGATATTTCCAGGAATTTTCAGTCAGCATGGGACTTTTAAAATGAGTGATGAAATGATGAGAAATATTATTTAATTAGCGACAATTAAGGTAGAATAATGTTTGAAATAAATGGTCATAAATCGCATGACAGTGTTCATTGGTTTATTATGCAAAACCATGAATTTAAGCTAAAGTTCCATGGCACCATGAAATAGCATTCTTTTGTGTATTTCAGTGACATATTTTTAGGAACTTGTCATAATGTTTTCCAAAAATCGATATTTTTAGAACAACTCCAAGGAGTACAACACTTGACACTTTTCAAAAGCCGAAGTTTTTTAAATAATTGAGGGCAACAAAAGTACCAGATCATTCACAATATATATTTTTTTCAGCCTATGTCACCAGAATACAATTTGAAATATGGCATAATATCTGTGCCATAGGAACCTATGGTAAAAGCGTTATATACTGTCAAAATGGCCACTATCCACTAAAATTCAACAATCATTTTCTTGAAAATTAAGTGGACCTCCAACTTTTTTTAACTCAATATCCTTATATTTCCCGGAAGTACAATATATTTGGAAATGAATAAATTCTGGGTATTCTACATTAACATGTTTGGCGGGAGATAATAATTGAGGTTAAAATCTGCCCAGCGTCACTTTTATTCAATCGGCCAATGGAAGCCTATTGTTTCAGTTTGAATTGCGAAATATTTATAAAGATAAAGGGAATGCCGTTTTGAAAGTAAAGGTGTTTCGCTTCCATGCACTCGTACCAAGTTGTTTGACAAGATATTTTTCTGCATTCAAAGCTGCGACAAAACAATTTAGAGTTTAGTCACTTTAATGTTGATGCCTAAACACTGAAATAGCATTGTATACACGATTGCCTGTCGCATAATTCCTTATACAAACACAGTTTCACTTTTGTTACACCATGGAGGTGAAAAAAGAACTTCACATGAACTCTCGGAGTTGACTTTCCTAGTTCATGTACTTCATATACTTATTGTGTTACATATTAAAGAAATCATTGTTATATGACGATATGAGTGAGAGTGGTTTTATATTGTCCTGTAACCACGTAGTGAATATGATTTATGTACCACAGACCAATCTAACACACGATTATATTGTCCTGTAACCACGTAGTGACTATGATTTATGTACCACAGACCAATCTAACACACGATTATATTGTCCTGTAACCACGTAGTGACTATGATTTATGTACCACAGACCAATCTAACACACGATTATATTGTCCTGTAACCACGTAGTGACTATGATTTATGTACCACAGACCAATCTAACACACGATTATATTGTCCTGTAACCACGTAGTGACTATGATTTATGTACCACAGACCAATCTAACACACGATTATATTGTCCTGTAACCACGTAGTGAATATGATTTATGTACCACAGACCAATCTAACGCACGATTATATTGTCCTGTAACCACGTAGTGACTATGATTTATGTACCACAGACCAATCTAACACACGATTATATTGTCCTGTAACCACGTAGTGACTATGATTTATGTACCACAGACCAATCTAACACACGATTATATTGTCCTGTAACCACGTAGTGAATATGATTTATGTACCACAGACCAATCTAACACACGATTATATTGTCCTGTAACCACGTAGTGAATATGATTTATGTACCACAGACCAATCTAACACACGAACACACTGATATTCACTTAGGCATGAACATTTCTTATATAAAACATTTATAAAACTTTTATAAATTTGACTGTTCGTAATATAACCTGGCCAATCACAACTGCCCTAACGAGTGAATACCGACCGTACACTATTCCATAATCGTCAGTGCAGCCTTTGTCGCATCTTGAAAATAAACTTGTTTTACAATTTGAACATTAAACAACTTGTAATATTCAAAATCTGTTGACAACAAGCTGGAAGTGTTTTGCATACATTTGATGTGATCTATGTGAGGGTCAGACGCATAACCAATAATAATGTTTCTAATGTTACATAAGGTATTTCCTGGATAGGTGTTTAGGAATGTTTTATAATGGGGTCGATGGGGGTGGTGGATTGCCGGGTTGACGAACATCTCACCGACTGAGGGCAGTATTGCATTAGCTAACTAAATAGTAACAGACGTATTATTCCTTGTTAAAATATTTCAGGTGTGATCCTGATAGAAGTAAACACGGAAACAATATTAGAATACGAAACTGAATACGAAGAAAGCCCATGTCGATATAGCACTCACATTTATCCGTAATTCGATCATTCACGAGTGTGATGGTGCTGTTTCGGGTTCTTTGTTGAACCCTTCATGAGTCGGAACAGTACTTGACCGAATCGTTCAATTTATTTAGCTTTCAGAATGTTCGACGTTATTACTTTCATTATACAATTTAGTATAAAAATCGATTAATTCCAG